CATCTTGACTTTTGCTCTTCCATTTTATTTCTGGCCAATGCAACACAAATATCGAGATTACAGCGCTTGCAGAATAAAATAATGCGTTTGATTTTGAGATGTAATAGATTCACTTCCTCAACTTTGATGCTAGACGCCTTACAATGGTTGTCGGTGAAGCAAAGAATTGTATATTTGACTATGGTGTTCATTTTTAAAGTAGTTAACGGTTTGCTGCCTCGATATTTGTGTGATCGAATTGAAAGAGGAAGTGACTTTCATAGATATAATACTAGAAACGCGGTTGAAATAAGAACACCACATTTCTTGACTTGTGCTTCACAAAATTCATTATATTATAAAGGAATAAATGTTTTCAATTCGATGCCTAGACATATCAAACGTTTAGCAACACTTACAGAATTTAAAAGACACTGCATTTCACACGTTAAAACTGTCTTTTGAACAGTTATCCAGTGTTTTTTTTTATGAATTGACAAATTATGTATCTTGACGAAGTTATCTCTAACGGATTATTTTATATGGATAGCTGTCATAACGACTTTTTAATAATTATTGTAGCACTGCAAAAACTATTTCTGTTCGCCACGAGGGTGGATTTTTAATATTTGATTTAATAGTAGATTCATTTAAAAAAAAGTAGTCTACAAAGGTTTGAGCCTCACGCGCGTATTACGGATATAGAGGACTGAATTTAACATTTGATAAAAAAAAAATGCAATTTTGAAGCTTATTTGAAATATACCTTGAGTTAGTAGTAAGTTTTCTGACAAATGTTCGTGAGCATTCCTGACATTGCTGAAAATTATGATAGCATCAGATTGCGGGGTTGCTAGTGTAATAGGATGCTTTGTTGATTGTTCATTAACTCTTGATTGCTTGTAATACTTATGAATATTTTAGGTGGACAAAAAGGCGAACTAAGAGCTTTTCCACATTTATATCGCTGTGAAGCAACTGTAAACTCTAGAGGGAATTTATATCTGTAACTGAAACCAGTTCGATTTTGTTTGCGAACCTGGTTAAAATGTCATATATAATTATCTTAAAGATAAATCGTCCAGCTCAAACCTTTGTAGGGGTAAGAGGTGGGACCATCATCATTTCATCATTTCAAACGTTAAAGTGATCCGATGCCAGCGCTGCGGCGAGTAGTTCGCGGAACTGATAATATTCAAATCAACCGTTAAATGCGTGAACGAAGATACACATTGAAGTGTTACGTCTGTTTGTCTGTGGTATAAGCATACAGTGGTCACTTACATCAGTAAAGATGGTATCATTTCTTGATCGTGGATTATCATCAGCTCTACAAATAACACGATCAAGAATGTTCGAGCTTATAGGCCTGGTTGGAAAGGTGTTCATACATACAAAGCCGAATGATTCCAAAAGTGATTTGTACCTCACGACCACATTGTTATTTTGATAATTAAGAGAGTGCCTTCCTTCAAATAACAACTGAAGCGCGGTAAAAATCGGTAGAACTGTTTCAAACACACAGTTGGTACTTGAGCGGGTCGGTTTTCATCTCTTTTGCCAGTGGTGCCGGGGGGGGGGGGGGACACCCCTCACCATCCCTCTCCAAAGGGGGAGTTTGGAAAAAAGAGATGAAAAAACCGATTTGTACCTTCCTTAAAAAGTTGTTCCAGCTCGCTATTCTAATATCTATATGCAATCTTCACACTGCAGTACTCTAACGGAACTATCAACTCTATGCTTTCATCTACTCCATCTATCGTATAAAAATTACCACTACAGTCTGTTATTTGAAATTAGCATCTTCAACTATGTAAATTCTTCGAGATAACTACCATCCGTCGTCTGGCTCGCCGTGGCGGTGTCTGACGTATCTCCGGTCTGATTTACGAGGTGTGCTGAAGGTGTTCCTGAAAAATGAGATCCGTGATGCTGTCACCTACACTAAACAGCGATGAGTAAATTTGCCTCATGTGTTCCAGGTTTTTGCAGGATTTTCAGGGAAAAATTCCCGAATTTGAGAAGTAAAGATTGGATTCACTCAGTCTATTGGTACTACTCCGAGACTGAATAAAATTTTCGTCAATTTCCTCATTTTCTGGCAGATTTTTTAGGGAAACCATGAGACAAATTTACTCATCACTGAGTTCCTGCACTTTTGGCGATTATGAGTGAACTAAGCTCAAATTTGGGTCGTTCTCATTCGCCGTATACGCAAAAGGAAATGAGCCAGTGTCGCTACTTGATAGCAAACTACTCATAATGGGAGGAGTCTTTGTAGCCCTTATACCACTTGGTTGCACATCATTCTGCTTTAACCTGAAACACCTAACAAGCAACAATTGACTGGTCGTGGCAAAGGAGGAAAAGGTCTGGTAAAGGAGGCGTCAAGCGTCATCGCAAAGTTCTTCGAGATAACCGCCATCTGTCGTCTGGCTCGCCGTGGTGGTGTCAAACGTATCTCCGGTCTGATCTACGAGGTGTGCTGAAGGTGTTCCTGGAAAATGAGGTCCGTGATGCTGTCACCTACACTAAACACGCCAAGCGTAAGTGGCCATGGATGTCCTCTTCAATAAAACGGCCCTTTTCAGGGCCAACAAGCTTACATCAGTAAAGAGTTGGAATAGAATTTATCTGTGCTTGTTTGTCCATATTCAGAACCACAAGCCCCCAACGACCACACAAAATGCTCTCCAGAGTTGTAATCTTGTAACCAAACTTGGAAGCAGGGGTGCAAGTGATTTTGATTGATTCTTTTTATCAACTTTCTCTTTGAAAAAGATTACTACAAATTTGGTACGCCTACAATTCAAAAACGGAAAGAGTTGAGATAATAGATAAATGATCAATTTAAAGAACTGCTCTTCACATTTATTTCGTCCACTAGCGGTCCTACGTCAAGCTTCCGTGTGTGCCCCTAGGAACAGACCCTTCTACTTTTTTTTACATTCAATGCAATAAACAACATCACTTTGATTATCCGACATTCTTGAAGATGAGTACTGTAAACAAATCATAAACATTTTTTTTAATGGAATCCACTCCAACGATAAAACTACAATAGGCTATAAACGTACATATACACTCTATCTAAAGTAAAATGCACTGGCACAATACACTGAAAAAGTAATAACCAAAAGCAAAGCTTTTCTAATTCAACAATCGACTGTGGAAGAGTATTCGTAACTACGGCAGGCGTACAACAAATGGTGGTGTGTTCCCGAGCAAAGTACAGCATCAAAATGACAGCAAATTGAAATCAAGTTTTGATATCAACATCAAACTGAAATCATAATTTGATTTCAGTTTACGCAATTGACAAATTTGATACCTTATTTTGTTTTCATTTTGCTGTACATTTGCTCTCCAGAAATATGTTGTTGCGGGTTTGTTTTCATTGCTTCAGCATAGCATCAAATTGAATACTTGTTTTGCTATCAACAGGAAAAATGGATATCAAATTTGGTTTTCAGTTTGCTCTCACTGATAGCAGAAATAGTTTTCAATGTGATGTCACAGGAAGATTTTTTGCTCTCAATTTTGATATTTTAACCGTTAAAACGACCAAAACAACAGCAACCTGAGTAATCATTATCAGTGAAATTTCAATTTGATCTCAAACTTTGCTCTGGTTAGATCCGACTATTTTTGACTAATAAGAATCCCACAATAATTGTTTTGTTCTCGAGGAGCTTGGGAGTAAACCCACGATCTTCTACTCAGTAAGCAAAAGCGGCAGCCGCCAAGCTAGCCGAGCTCCTAAATTTAAATTCCAGTCCTGTTTAAAATAAAATTAAACAAACAAAAAACAAAACAAAAAACGGAGTCGAAGAATGATCCAATTTATTCCAGCCATGTGTGATAAAAAACACTAATGCCCTTTAAGGGGGCCACTTCTGAGGACGGTTGATAGTCGTGGAGATTAATTCGCACTCGCTGACACAAAACTATTCAAAACTAATATTTTTAACTTGTTACAGTTAAAAAATATGCGGAAACAGATAAAATCAGCGCCAACGAAAACAAAACCCCAACATCATCACCGCGTAAATAAGCTGAAATTAAAATTATCACTCGTGATGCCACAAATTTCTGGTCCGGGAGAAAAAAAAAACAAACAACGCAGATAGCGCCAAATCTTCTGATGCTTGCAATTTTGCAAACATGATGAATCCTGGCCTACATATAGCTAAAATTAACGCAAAACTGCCTCCCCCAGATTCAGGTCTGAGTTTTCAACCTTCAAATATTAGCAGTTGAAATTCCCAAGTTTGAGGGGCTATCCACAAACCATGTGGTCAGTTTTTAATAGATTTCAGACCTCTCTCCTCCTACGGGGACATTAATTCATACACATTTATAAGAATTTATAACTCTTGTTGGCCGCCTCATAATTGGATCTGGCCTACACATTCATTGTCTAAGAAGGAAATTTTCAACAAAATCGATTGATTCTCCCTTAGAACAACCGACAATCATGATAAATAACATGTTTTCACTCCAGCATGTTTTACTGTGAGCACGATCCATTTATACTCCTACGCAGCACATACCGCCGAAATGCATTACACCAATTCATTGAGGCAACCCACTCGTTGCACCTGCTTTCATTATTTCCCACTCATATAAATTCCCTTATTGTGCATCCCACATGAACTTTTCCGCCCCTGCGCGCGCGAAGTTGTCCTGCCTTCACTCCATCACACCGCGATTCCACCTCATCCTCCGAAGCGACGTGTTGTTTGTGCTCATGTTCTTAACTGTCGCCAGAGGTTCATTCATTTCGCTTGTTCTCGCATTCTCTCACTCGCAAAGGCCGTTGTTCGAAGGAAGCATCTCACTGACGTCACGCCGTGGCATTCCATGTACCTACCTTCATATCTACATGGAGGAGCCAAGACCTACGTGAGAATGTGTGCGATTTTCGGGAAAAGCTTTTCCGATCGATAACTGATGTGGTCTCTCGCGAGGCTCTCGGTCTGCTGCTGCTGGTCACAGTCTGATTTTCACCGTTGGAAAAGTCGGTCGGATTTTCCGTTCTATCATACAGCCGTGCTCCGGGGGTCCTTGGTCCTCCAGGTTTTGAACTAGGCTTCTTCCGAAGGTGGAAGCTTGACAAGTGCCAGTTTTAATCATTTCTTTTGAGTTACGGAAGGTGATAAATTGATTTTCGGTTGTAATTGGCGGGGGTTTGAAGAGTTTTCAAGTCCGTGTGAGCAATGTGAGAACGATAAAGTGCAGGAGCTTGCCGTCAGCCATTACAATTTTCCAGAGTACGAATCGAGTGTGGAAATTTTTTCAATCCGTTGTTCGAGGCCACATCCGAAGAGAAGGTGCGGGAGCACACGGTGAGAGTTTTCCACGAGCAAGTTGTGGAAGGGGGCGCATTGTAAATTAAAAAAGGGGTCATCACGAGGTCGTAGCAGGCGGACTTTTAATCAGCAGCCTTCTTAGACCCGCAGAAGAAGCTTCACAGTGGCAAAAATAGCCTGCTTTGATTCTTACCGAAGGAAGTGATTATGTAACACATTTAGGATACATATTCATACCTAGCTTCGAAAGCAAACTTAGCGATTGAGTGATGTTCGGGAGAGTTGCACGGGAAAGTTGAAAGTAAAAAAAAACCCGAGACTGTGTGGGTTAAGCGTGTGCACCATTTTCATTCATATCGAACGTTTTCGGAAAACCGTGTGTCTTGGTGGAATATGTGTCCCAGCGTTTACGAGCGTGAGTAGACCGACAACAGCATCTGTGGTGAGAGTTTAATTGGTGGAAAGTTGTAATTCAGAAGCGACTTGGCTGCCTCAAAAGCTAGAGAGAGAACGAACCTCCATGGTACAGGGAGGATCGTTGAATCGATGTTGTTTGGAATTCACTTGGCCGGAGCAATCTGAGGCTGCATCTCGGTGAAGGCGCACATGTGCGGGCTACGTTTTAGAACAAGAAACTCTCCGTCTCAGAAGACATCCTTACGCTGGGGTGACAGCTGCTCTCTCTGAACAGTTGACCGCCACGGTTCTACAGCACACATCAGTGGATCCCATCACAGAGATCGCCTCCATCTTCGTCACTTCATCCATCCCGATCGCAGCAGTCTAACATCGAAGTGTGAACTATAGAGACTAATACGTAATAGTGTAGCCATTTCGTCGAACCAGCCACAAGGTCGAAAATACACAACTAACAAGAATCTGAAGCAACAAAAAATGGTCGCTATCAAAGTGTTGAATCCTAGTTCTAAGTGTAACGTTTTACGCGTAAAATATCTGTGATGTGTTAAAAGTCTACAAATCAATGTTCTAAGATTTCAAAACAAGTGTCGAAAGCGGAAGAAAAGCTTGTCATTTACAAAGTCAATAAATTATAAAATACTAGCACACGAGTGAGTGCAAAAGGAAGAGCTATATAGAGTAGTCTTCCCAGTCGCCATTCAACATCTACACCGAATCACTCACGTGAGCCAGTAATTGGAGAGGTCCTTGTGCACCGTCTTTTCGAAGGTGAGTTACCAACACTATTGTGCGGGCAGGAGGGCTTCCATCTGATAAGCCACCCTCTGACGTAAGGGAATTCTTGTGTATTCGTTTTTTTCTTTCGTTGTTTGCTGGGGATAGTTACATAACCTTACTTTGTGCTGGGTTCACGAGCCACGGTACCGAATGAGAAAACAACGGCGTCAGGTGATTTGAGAACGACGACGACGATGATGATGATGATGATGATGATAAATCTCTTCCCGATGAAATTTGATACATGTGGGTAATGCGTGAAATTAGTACATTAATTATTCAATAGATGAAGCGTGTCAGTATAACGGGAAGATCATAGCCCGTATTGATTCCGCTAAATAACGGTGAAATCGAACGGATTCTGAATTAATAATTAAATAATGTGCGGCATAGAATTCCGGGTACATGTGCGTTTCAATCATTTTGAAATCAATGGGGTCTTTGAGTTCATTGATTTGTTCACAGATTTAATAGTCATAAATTTATAAAAAAATATGAAAAGTACAGTGTGGTTAAAAATTATTCTAGGAAAAAGTTCATAACTTTGACTTTGACATAACTGATTTTGGTCAATTGATGTGTCCATTGTGTCAATTATGCTGAGTTTCATGGAATTTGGAGGGCAGTCTCAAGTATGCACCTTTAGAATTGATGAAACGATCCATAAAATATTGAAAAACGTTCCATTAAAAACATCCAAATGTTCCATAAAACATCGGAAAAAATCCTTTAAAAAGTGTGGATGATCCATAAAAAATATCAATATTATCAATATTTTATGTGAAATTTAGCAACACAATTGTAAAAATGTATCACTTAGTTTCTAAAGAATGAGCATTGAACTTTTACGAATTACCCATAAACATATTGCAATTGATCCATAAAACAATCAGCAATGATCCTTAAACTAAAGAAAGTAATCCATAAAAAATCAAGTTTGCGCTCTTAAAAATATAGGCATGATCCATAAATTAGACGTATATTATTCATGTTTAGGACACAATTTTTTTGATCCATAAACCTTGAAAAATTGCTCCATTTCATGTCTACTTAGATTTACTGTCCTGCCCGTGTATTTTAGGTAGAGGTGCGAAACGACGGGCAAACGTCTAGAATTAGCTTCCAAAAGAAGATTCTATAATAATATTCTTAAGAAGCTTCCTATGGAAGCTTCATTTAGAAACTTCTTTGAAAAGCTTATTCTAGACGCTCGCCCATCGTTCCGCTCTTCTGACATAAAAAAAAAACACACACACGCACACGCACTTGTAAGACAGCACCTGAGTAGCTACGCAGTAATGTAGCAATTTTCCAAGGTTTATTGATCAAATTAAAAAAAGGGTTCAAAACAAGAAAAACATATGTATATCCTATAGACTATCATTGGAACACAGCATAATAGGAACGTCTACCAATAACTAGAACACCTACCAAAACGTGAATAATGTACGTCTAATTTATGGATCATACTTACTTACCAATCAGGCTAAGGCCTTGTTGTCCTCTGCTGTCCGAAGAAGTCGTCTCCACTCTACTCGATCCATGGCCACAGTTCGCCAGCCTTGTAGCCTGCGAAGAGTCCGCAGGTCACCTTCTACTTGGTCCTGCACGCCTCTTCTTCTTGTTCCTGTTAGGGCGCTTTCGAGAACCATTTTCACTGGGTCGTCGTGCGGCATTCTTACGACGTGCCCAGCCCACCGTAGTCGCCCAATTTTTGCGATGTGGACGATGGATGGTTCTCCCAGCAGCTGGTGCAATTCGTGGTTCATTCGCCTCCTCCACGTTCCGTCATCCATCTGCACTCCACCGTAGATGGTACGCAACACCTTCCGTTCGAAAACACCAAGGGCGCGTTGGTCCTCCACGAGCATAGTCCAGGTCTCGTGGCCGTAAAGGACCACCGGTCTAATCAGCGTCTTGTAGACAGTCAACTTCGTGCGGCGGCGAATTTTATTCGACCGGAGCGTCCTCCGGAGTCCAAAGTAGGCACGATTCCCTGCCATAATGCGTCTTTGAATTTCTCTGCTGGTATCATTTTCGGCGGTCACCAGTGAGCCCAAATACACGAACTCATCGACCACCTCGAATTCGTCACCGTCAATCTGAACTCGGGGTGGGAGGCTAACATTGTCTTCCCTAGAACCTCTTCCTTTAATGTATTTTGTCTTTGATGCGTTGATGGCAAGTCTAATCCGTCTAGCTTCAGCCTTCAGTCTGATGTACGTTTCCGCCATCATCTCAAAGTTCCGTGCCATAATGTCAATGTCATCGGTGAAACCAAGGAGCTGGATGGACTTCCTGAATATCGTGCCACTCGTGTCTATCCCAGCTCTTCTGATCACACCTTCTAACGCGATGTTGAACATCAGACACGAAAGTCCATCACCCTGCCGTAACCCCCTTCGAGATTCAAAGGGACTCGAGAGTGTCTCCGATACTCGAACAACGCACATCACTCGATCCATCGTCGCCTTGACCAATCGCGTTAGTTTATCCGGAAATCCGTACTCGTGTATAGTCTGCCATAGCTGATCTCGATCGATTGTGTCGTATGCGGATTTTAAATCGATGAACAAATGATGTGTGGGCACGTTGTATTCGCGGCATTTCTGCAGAACCTGCCGAATCGCGAAAATTTGGTCCGTGGTAGCGGGGGCACCCATGAATCCCGCCTGGTATTGCCCCACGATCTCTCTTGCATATGGTGACAGACGGCGGCATAGAATTTGGGAGAGTACCTTGTAGGCGGCGCTCAGCAGTCCAACTTGTCGCCCTTTTTGTAGATTGGGCATACGACACCTTCCATCCACTCCTCCGGTAATATCTCCTCCTCCCACATCTTGGCAATTACCCAGTGCAGCGCTCTAGCCAGTGCTTCACCACCGTATTTTAATAGCTCACTTGGTAGTTGATCTACACCAGTTGCTTTGTTGTTCTTCAGCCGACCGATCTCCTCCTCACCTTCTTGAAGATCAGGGGCCGGTAGCCTGTCGTCTTCTGTGCGTGCTCCAAGGTCTGTTGCCGTGCCACCTTCGTTTTCTGCTGCTTCACCGTTGAGGTGCTCGTCATAGTACTGCTTCCACCTCTCAATCACCTCACACTCGTTCGTGAGAAGGTTAGCGTCCAAGTCCTTGCACATATCGGCTTGCGGCACGTAGCCTTTGCGTGAACTATTTAGCTTCTCGCAGAACTTCCGTGTGTCGTTTACGCGGTATAGATTTTCCATCGTCTCGCGATTTCGGTATTCCTGCTGACGCTTCTTCCTTCGGAAAACCGAGTTTTGTCTGTTCCGCGCTTGTCCTTATCGTTCCACATTCAATCTCATGTGGTGTTGCAGCATTCTCGCCCGTGCTACATTCTTCTCCTCTACTAACAGTTTGCATTCGCCGTCAAACCAGTCCTTTCTTCGGTCCGGGATTGCAGCACCTAGTGCCGCTGCAGCACCTAGTGCCGCTGCAGCAGTACTACCTATGGCTGAACGGATGTCCCTCCAGGCATCTTCAAGAGAAGCTGCGCCAAGCTGCTCTTCCGTGGGCAGTGCAACTTCCAGCTGCTGCGCGTAGTCCTGGGCAACTCCGGCGTCCCGTAGTTGCTCAATTTTGGGTCGCGGCGTTCGACTTCGACGTGTATTATGCACCGTCGAGAGTTTTGAGCGCATGCATACTGCAACTAGGTAGTGGTCCGAATCTATGTTCGCACTGCGGTACGTGCGGACGTTGATAATGTCGGAGAAGAATTTCCCGTCGATTAGAACGTGATCGATTTGGTTTTCTGTGTGTTGGTCGGGTGATCTCCAGGTGGCTTTGTGGATATCCTTGCGGGGGAAAAAGGTACTTCGAACTACCATACCCCGGGAGGCTACAAAGTTCACGCATCGTTGGCCGTTGTCGTTCGATTTAACTAATTTAAAATCTAAACCAATCTTAATGCTTATAATAAAACCTATTTCAGCTTCAAGCTGTCCAAAACGAGACTGCTCTGAGGAAGTTGATTTCATACCGACAAATTTAAAGGATTCATTTTTACCTATTATGTACATTTGTTAATTGGATGGGGATTGTTAGAATTTTGAGAAATGCAAAATTTAAAATCTCAAAGCTAAGCTGAAATTAAAATTATTAGTACTGCTTGTTGTTTATTAATTTATTTGATAAGGCTCAACCGAATTAACTTTACAGAGCCGAGGATTCTTGTTCACTATACAATACATCTTAAAACTATAGTAAAAAGGTACAACACAATAAACATTTTATCTTCCGCTATCCAATAAGCCTCCTCCACCAGAACGGGAGCCGCTTCCAGTGCTTTCATTGTATGGCATATTCGCCAACGAGGGTCAGAGCGCTTCCATTGCAGCAATGGACGCAAAACGTGGTCATCTCTCACACACTCATCACGAAACAGTTGCTTTCCAAAGTCAACGACGCATCGACTGAAAGAACTGCTGATGAAGAACAATGAGGAGGACCAAAAAATGGTTGACACACATTGAGAGTGGTCTGCTTCTGTCGACAGCCGAGTGAACACTCTATTAGTACTGCTATTATTTTGAACAATTTTACCAGGTGTCTCACTTTGGTGCAGGTGCTTCCAAAAATTTTATGTTTTGCAATCGTAAAATTGAACATATTTGTAGTTCTCTGGCAAACGTTTCAGCTCAATTGATCATAAGTTAACAAAGTTACATCATGTCAAAATTGATCATTTTGTATGTAAATCGGCATGCGCTGCTAATTTATCGAACACAACTGTACCTCAGCGAAATTTTTCACTCCTACGTGCAATATTTCAAATGTTACAGTGATTTGAAGGTGTCCGGATTAATGTGTATACGGTCCTTAGTTTTGGACAGGCCTGCTGTATTAGTTTTAGAAACACATTTTCCAATAACCAATTTTTGGTGTGTACATTCTTTACCTGTATAGTGTAGTGAATCACATTTTGAGCTCAAGTTTCTCGCCAGTAAGGAAAAGTATATCTGATTTACGATG